AGGCTTTGGGTAGAGGGGGACGGTTGGGTGGGGTTGGGGTGTCCAAAGGGTGTGTGGTGGGTTGTGTCATCCTCCGTGGAATCAAGGAAACTGAGTTCGGTGGGGGTGACGGGGTGAGAATAAGGGTAGGTATTTTCATCAAAAGTAACATGACGAGATATGATGATTTTATGGGTGAGAAGGTCAAGACATCGGTATCCCCGTTGGTTAGACGGGGGTACCCTAAGAAGACACATCGGGCAGAGCGAGGTGCGAGTTTATGAGGGGCGGTGGCGGATATATTTGGATAGCAGAGACAACCGAAGACACGAAGGTGAGAGTAGGTGGGTTTGGAACCATAAAGGGCTTCATAGGGAGTGTGATTTTGAAGTGTGGTGGTGGGTAAGAGATTAAAGAGATGAGAGGCCATGTGTAGAGCCTCGACCCAGAAGGTTGGTGGGAGTTGGGCTTGAAAGAGAAGAGAGCGCACAGTGTTATTGATGGTGCGAATGGTCCGTTCAGCACGGCCATTTTATTGGCTAGTGTGTGGACATGAGAAGCGGAAGAGTATACCCAAGGATTCAAAAATATTGCGAAGGGGAGTGTTCCTGTATTCAGTTCCATTATCACATTGAACAGCCTTAATAGTAGCATTAAACTGATTTTTCACAAAGGCAATAAATGTGTGAAGATGAGAACATGCATCAGATTTATGTTTAAGGGGGAACATCCACAAAAAATGAGAATAATCATCCAAGAGTAACATATAATGCTTAAAACCAGTAACACTAGTAACAGGCGATTGCCATAAATCAGTATGTAAAAGCTGGAAGGGAAAAGTAGAAATACGACTCGATGACTCAAAGGGAAGACGAACATGTTTCCCCAACTGACAGGCATGACAAAGAGACTATTGTAAATGTTTAAAAGACATGGAAGAAAAACTGGGGATTCCACGAAGAACGGCAAGGCTAGGGTGGCCAAGACGACGATGCCAAAGCTCCGAGCTACCGGTGACAACGTTGACTTGAGCTTGGGCTTGGGCGGTGGACTGGCTCATAGGGTAAAGAGGGCCGGCATTATTGGACCGATGAATCACGGTTCCCGTCAGCATATCCTTCACAGAAAAACCAGTGGGGTCAAATTCAATGGAGCAATTATTGTCACGGGTAAACTGGCGAACAGAAATAAGGTTATGGATAATATGGGGGGAGACAAGAATATTTTGTAAGTGGAGGGGAGGGGTTGTGGGAAATTTATAGTTACCTATAGCCGTAGTGCGAACTTTAGAACCATTACCGACAGTGATATATGATGAAGAATTTAATGAATGAGTACGAACATGAGAAAGAGTACCTGGGTCCGAGGCGATGTGGTGAGTGGCGCCGGTGTCCATATACCAATTGGGATCACGGAGGCTGAGGGTGTCGAAATTATGAGCTAGGGCAGTTGGGGTGGGGACACCTGAGAGGTGGCTGGTGGGTGATGGTGGGGGTGTCGGGTAGGAGGG